TTGACTCCAATGATGATGTTAATAATGATGTTTATCATTAGCATAATGATGTTATTGTCATTGTTGCTGTTATTTTTATTATTATTTTTTTTTATTTTAGAGAATTTCCAAACACACATTGAAAGAGAGAGTTATTTCTCTGCTCCCCACAACAGCATTACTCTCGTTTGTTATTCAGTTGCTGTTGTTGTTGTTGTTTTTTGCTAGAAGTACAAAAACTTTTTTGTTGTTTATTTAGTTTGTTTTTATTCAAGGAAATGTAAACAAAAACCCAAACAAAACAAATATGTGAAAAATAAACAACAACAACAGCAGTACTACATACTGTTAAGAGCTTTTTTTGTTTGTCTGTACGTACGTTGCTGTTGTTGTTGCTGTTATTTTTGTATTTTAAATAAATTTCACAATTAAACTTAATTATGACGTATTTTTTTGTTTTCTTTCTTTGTTTGTTTTGTTTTTTTTTATATATTTTTGTTGAGGTTGACTGCTCTGCTAGACTCTGCTAAAAATTCTGTCAACAGTGTGAGTTCTGCTACTACTCTCTACACTACTGGGGCTGCGCTGACGCCTTTGTGTTGTTTACGTTTTTTTTCTTGTGTTTTGTCTTTGGTTTAGGGAGAAAATGTTGTATGACCCGCAAACAACATTTTGTTGATGATGAGCATGATGAAGATGCACAGTGGAGATAATTGTTATAAAAAAAGTTTATGAATTTTGGAGGGAAAACAACTTCTATAGGTACAAAGAGAGTTATACGGACAATTTTCTGTAGAAAAATGTGTTATGCATAACATTTTCTATAGAAAACCCCTTATACAAATAATTTTCTATAGAAAAATACTGTTTTATACAAAATTTTCTAAAGAAAAAGTCTTATATACACAATTTTCTATGGAAAAAAGTTTTATACTAATATCTTGTCTGGAAAAAAGTGTTATACACACAATTATCTGTATATGAAAGTGTTATACACACTATTTTTTTATAGAAAACCTTGTTATAAACAAAGTTTTTTGTTAAAAAAAACTGTTATACAAGCAATTATATGTAGAAAAAAGTGTTATATGCACACTTTATTATAGCAAAAAGTGTTATACACATAATTTTTCATAGAAAAAGAGTTATAGATAAAATTTTTGGTAGAAGAAAGTGTTATACCTACAATTTTTAGTAGAAGAAAGTGTTATACATACAATTTTTGGTAAAATAAAGTGTTCTACTCATAAGTTTTTACAGAGAAAAAGTATTATACACAGAATTTTCTTATGAAAAAACTCGTACACACAAGATTTTCTGTTGACAAAACTGTTATACACACAATTATATATAAAAAAGTGTTATACACAGAATTTTCTTATGAAAAAAACTGTTATACACAATATTTTCTGTTGGTGAAACTGTTATACACACAAATTTATGAAGAAAAATGTGTTATACAATCAATTTCTTATAAAAATAAGTGTTATACATAAAATTGTCTGCTGATGAAACAGTTATACACAAAATTATATGAAGAAAAAAGTGTTATACAATCAATTTCGTATAAAAATAAGTGTTATACATAAAATTGTCTGTTGATAAAACTGTTATACACACAATTATATGTTGAAAAAAGTGTTATACATACAATTTCTCATAAAAATAAGTGTTATACATATAATTTCTCATAGAAAAAAGTGTTACAAACACAATTTGCTATAGAAAAAACTGTTATACACACAATTATATGCAGAAAAAAGTGTTATATGAAAAATTTTTCACAGAAAAAAAGTGTTATACACATATTTTTTCATAGAAAAAAGTGTTATACTCACAATTTTCGACAGTGAAAAGTATGATACTTACAATTTTCTATAAAAAAAAAGTGTTATACACACAATTTTATACAGAAAAAAGTGTTATACAAACAATTTCGTATTGAAAAAGTGTTATAAACACAATTTTCTAGGAAAAAGTGTTATAAAAACAATTTTCTGTAGAAAAAAGTGTTATACAAACAATTTCGTATTGAAAAAGTGTTATAAATACAATTTTCTATAGAAGAAAATATTGTAAACAAAATTTTCTATAGAAAAAGTGTTATAAACAGAATTTTCCATAGAAAAAACTGTTATAAATGCAATTTTCTCTAGAAAAAAGTCTTATAAACACAGTTTTTTACAGAAAAAAGTGTTATACTCTAAATTTTCTATTGAAAAGAAACTGTTATACACACAATTTTATTTAGAAAAAAGTGTTTGTATATACAATTTTCTGTTGAAAAAACTGTTATACAACCAACAATATGCAGAAAAAACAATATTCTATAGAAAAAAATGTTTAAATCATAATTTTCTCTAGAAAAAAAGTGTTATGCTGCAATATTTCTATTGAAAAAAAACTGTTATACACTTAATTATCTACAGAAAAAAGTGTGATACTTACAATTTTGTTATAGGAAAAAGTGTTATACACATTTTTTTTGTAGAAAAAAGTGTTATACACATTCATACATTTTCACTGTTGTGATATTACTCTACATTACATCAGTTTTGTTGCTAAAGATAAGTTTTATGGAAATTTACCTATAATTTGTTGTTGTTTTTGTTATTGTAAACATTTATTTATTTGTTATTGGTGATAATTTTTATTTTCACTTTTGTCGTTGTTGTTGTTAATTTTGATAAAAATAAAAATTGTTTGTTTTCTTTTAATGTGTGTAGGCAAAAAAAAAAAAAACAAAAAAAATCGTGTAAGACATTACATTCAAATGTACGTACCCTTAAGACAGTGGGTGTAAAAAGTTTGTGACAATTGTTGTTGTGATTTTTTTCTTAAAGGTAAATAGACATACAGTGGACGTCCACTAGTACGAATTATATAGTGTCAGGCCCTTTCGTAATACCGAAAAATTCGTATTATTGAACAACACATTTTGTATGTTTAAATTCAAATAATACACATAAAATATTGGATTTTATTTATTTTTCATGAAAAATTACATAAAGGCATAAAAGTACATAAACAGGCATAAAAGTGACATATTTACGTATATGAATTGTTAATTTTGAAAGTATCGTGAGTCCAATGGTTGAAATGAGATATATGTAGAAGGTTTTAAATTTTAATGTTTTTAAAAAGATGTGTTCCAAAGACAATTTGCAATTTATATATGTGTTCTAAAATGTTCAGATTACATAAAACTTTTATTAGAATCTTGAATGGAATATACCACAATTCTCTAATTTATAATTTTCTCTTAAAAATTAGAATAGTTATCCTTAAACCCATTGTTTGGAATGTGGAGTCCAACTATTTTCAAAATTAACAGTTCATACATACATATGTATATAAATATCATTTTACTTATTAAAAAATCCATCATTTAACATCGATGTTTATTACATTGTAAAATGATTATTACGGCTTTTTCAATAACAGCGCTTTTGAGGCTTCAATATTGTTCTCAGCAGAGTTATTGTCGGGAACTAATAAAATACTTTCCTCATTGGCGTTATCATCCAATTTAATTTCTTCTCTTGGGTAATCAAAATTCCAATTAAATAAATTAATAACACTAAATAATTGTTGATTTGTAAATATACATGCAGTAAATTGTGTGTATAGGATTTTTAAAAATACAAAACACTTGTAATAAATACAAAAAAACTTCAAAATTACTGAGCTTAAGGTGAATGATACCGAAATAATAAAATAAAAACATAATAAAAACTTCATTCATACGTAAATAAAACCAAAATTCCCATAAAAAATGCGTTATTCGTACTATCGAACAGAAAAATTGTGACTTTATTCGTACTATAGAGTAGACAATGCAACAACTTTGCCATTCGTATTATTGGATATTCGTAATAAAGAGTATACGTACTATTGGACGTCCACTGTACATATGTATGTGTATATAATTAAGGAGGAGCTAACTGTTTATTAGAGCTATTAATTTTAGTGAGATAATGAAAATAAATATAATTAAATAAATTTTTTTATATAAACTAAATAATAAACTGATCTCTGGGTTAAAAAACCTTTGGAAAATTGACTCTTTAACTTGTTTTCTTACATGAAAGTGGATTTATAGTCTTGCTTACTAATTAAATAACTTTTTTCTTACTCCAGCTCCACGGTAAGTTGTTTTGATGTTTTTTAGTTAAAGTTTTTTTTCCCCCATTAAAAATTGTTTTTGTTTTTCGCTGTTTGCGGTGTGTGTGTGTGCATGCAGTTGTTTACAATATTTGTGCACATTTTTAAACAAAACAACAACAACAACAACAGCAACACCAGGAGGAGTAGAAAAAGAAGCTAAACAAAAAACAGATCACAATAAACTCAACAATAATAATAACAACTACAACAACGACAACAACAATGACAAACTTTAGCTGGCTGGTAAAGTACAAAAACAAAAAATAAACAAAAACAAATGAAAAAATAAAGGAAAAATACAAGTAAAATGATTCATTTTTTTTTTCATTTGTTCGAAAAGTGACTGACCGACGACTGCACAAACGAACGACGATTAAAAAGTTTAACTTTAAATTTGCTTCATCAATCTTGCCACAACATCATTATGGTTATAAACCTCATTATTAACATACTAGCTTATACTAAATGTTTTGTTTTGTTTATCATAATGATGATGTTAATGTTGAACATAAAATGAGAGTGATATGATGTTTGTGAATGTAAATTGTTTTTGTTTTTACTTTATAAAGAAGAAAAAAAAAGCATTAACATTGATGCTGCTAATGTTCTAAAAATGTTGCTAAAAACAGCAGCAGCAACTATAACAATAACAACAATCTGCTGCTGCACATCTTCAGCAACAACACACAACAGCAGCAACATCAACATCATTATCATCTTGGGTTTTTATCAACAACAGAAACAAAATGCAAACATTAACAACAATAGCAACAGCAAGCAACAACGTCTACGTCTAGCACAACAACAGAACCAACACCAACATCATCTTCTGCTGCCTGTGCGTTAACTGACTGAGCCAACGACGCCTCTGTCGAGGCCGACGCAAACAAATTGTTTTTGAGAAATTCACATTTCAATTGCGAGCATTTTTTAGTTACAAATCGATTTCATCAGGTTTGGTAGTGTTTTACGGTGTTTGTCGTTGTCGGCTCGCAGCAACATTATTAAGAAAATTTTTTTTCGTTTTTTACTTACGTTTTTCTGTGTGTTTTGAACGAAATAAATTCAATAGACAATAATAAACATAAATAAGAAAAAAAAAATAAATAGAAATTAAAAAAAAAATTACAAAAAAAAAACATTTTCAAAACAAATCAACACGAGATAATCTCGTGCAAAGAATTTAACAAAAAATAAAAAATAAAATGATTTTCTGCAAATTTAAAAAAATTTATAAAAATTCGCAACAAATTTATTAACATCATTAATTTTATATAAAAAAAAATGTAGGTATTTTTTTAAATAAAAAAAAATTATAAAAAAAAATTTTTAAAACTAAATTTTGGCGCTTTAATTTAAAGCATTATAAAGTGTTTTAGTTGTTGTTGTTTTTGTTGTGGCAAATGTGTGATTTTTCTTCAAGTGTCGTTTGAATTTCATTTCCTACTTCCGCCGTCAACATACAAACACACACATTCATATACACGTTTACACTTGCAGCAGACACATGTAATGTTGTGTGTTTGTTGTTGTTGTTATTGTTTTTACTTGTTGGCCTTTAGTTGGCTTTTGTTGTATTTTGAAAAAGTGTTAATGATTTTGTATTTTCTAAATAATTAATTTCTAAAATTGTTGTGGCTTTTAAACAATTTTTGTTGTTGTTATAGCTGCTGCCTTTGTGCTGTGAATTTTCTTTGTCAAAAAAAATAATAATAATTAAATAAAAAAAAAAAACCTTTAAAACAAATATTAACAATGATTACGTTGTTAAAGGTTTAAAAGTCTGGAAAAATATGGAAAAATTGTAAAAAACCTTTTAAAAGTTTTATAATAAATAAAACAATTTTAAATAAATAAAAAAGTGATGAAATATTTATTTTAAAAAAAAGTTCAATGGTTTCAATATTGTGAAAAAAAATAAAGAAAATAATAAATTAAATAATCAATTATATAAAAATAAATAAAAAGAAACAAAATATAAAATAATTTAATATAAAAATATTAACAAAATAAAAAAACAGAAAATTTATAAAAACTTTAATTTTATTTAAAAACAAAATAATTTTTATAAAAATTATAAAAGAATTAAATATATATTATAAAAAAAAATAAATAAAAAAAAATAAATATAAATAATAAATATAAAAAAAATTAAATATAAATAAAATTTTTTATTAAAAATAAAGAAAATTTTTAATTTTTATAAAAAATAATAAAAAATATTATTTTTTTAATTAAAAAAAAAAACATAAAAAAGTGTAAAAAACTACTGGAAAATTTTGAAAAAAAAAATAAAAAACATAATAAAATGTGTTATAACTAAAAGAAATATAGAAAAAATTTTGAAAAAATAAATAAATTCTATGAATTTTTAAAAATTAAAAATTTTTATAAATAAAAATATATTTTAAATTAACAAAAAAAAAAAATATATAAAACCTAAAATTTAGTGAAATCATTGAAAACATTTAGTAAACATGGAATAACATCACTACCAAGATACATACTTGGATCTAACTTCGACGAATGCCTAACAGTGGCTAAGAAAGTGCTCCAGAGTTTCACTGTCCTCTCCACATGCTCGACATTCGTCTAAAACCGCGCGGCCAATTTTGTATAGCTGAGCTCGCTCACACTAACTTCAAACCTGCTAATTTTGAGAAGATTTCTCGTGTTGTTCTCATCAGGGTCACCCCATAGGATCTTTGTAGTTCTAGCCAGCATTTCATTATTCCAAGAGGCCTTATGGGAATCTCTCATTCATAATTTTAATTCTGCTTTTGTTGCATAGAATGGTGTTTTTTAGGTTAACTACCTCGAGTTCCCTTCCCTTTAAAGCTATTACATTCGCCCTTTCGTTGACGACTACTCCCGAGTAGCCTGGTACTCATATGATGTAAACCTTACCTCTGGAAGAGTATTCAGTTAAAGCTTTCTTACAATCCCATATGGTCTTAGATTTAATTCTGATAATCTGATAATCCTGATATCGCTCTAATCGCATTCTGGCTGTCGGATTTATTCGAAATCCAATTTACACATTCCGTTATTGTTCTGACTTCTGTCTGAAAGCTTGTGTTATGATTAGGTAAACGGTGATATATTTCTGTTTCTGGTTCTTCAATATAGAAGCCCAGGCCCATTTTATCCCCCAATTTAGAGCCATCCGACGGATTCCTACTGGTATTTGCTCTAGTTTTCAAATTCTATCTGGAATCAGCGTTTCAAAGTTTCCGACATATTCTGTGTCTGGTATGCGATCAGACACGTCCGATGATTGTGTATAATAATCCAATGTGACCAGTATACAACCGCGCCTTAAGTAAGGAGCCGTTGGGCTGTAAGCCCCGTCTCATATCTTAAATTTAAGAAAACGGGTCTTACCAGAAGGTCCAGTATGAAAGCTAATGGTACATTGTGGACAGAATTGTTTTAAACTAGTTAGTTAGTTAGTTAGTCAGTTAGTTAGTTAGTTAGTTAGTTAGTTAGTTAGTTAGTTAGTTAGTTAGTTAGTTAGTTAGTTCGTTCGTTAGTTTTCGTTTTTTCGTTTAGTTAGTTAGTTAGTTCGTTAGTTTTCGTTAGTTCGTTCGTTAGTTCGTTCGTTAGTTCGTTCGTTCGTTCGTTCGTTAGTTAGTTCGTTAGTTCGTTCGTTCGTTAGTTCGTTCGTTCGTTCGTTCGTTCGTTTTTTGTTTTGTTCGTTCGTTCGTTCGTGTTCGTTCGTTCGTTCGTTCGTTCGTTCGTTCGTTCGTTCGTTCGTTGTTCGTTCGTTCGTTCGTTCGTTCGTTCGTTCGTTCGTTAGTTCGTTTTCGTTCGTTCGTTCGTTCGTTTCGTTCGTTCGTTCGTTCGTTCGTTCGTTCGTTTCGTTCGTTCGTTCGTTCGTTCGTTCGTTCGTTCGTTCGTTTCGTTCGTTCGTTCGTTCGTTCCGTTCGTTAGTTCGTTCGTTCGTTAGTTCGTTCGTTCGTTAGTTCGTTCGTTTCGTTCGTTCGTTCGTTCGTTCGTTCGTTCGTTCGTTTCGTTCGTTCGTTCGTTCGTTCGTTCGTTCGTTTCGTATCGTTCGTTCGTTCGTTCGTTCGTTCGTTCGTTCGTTCGTTCGTTCGTTCGTTCGTTCGTTCGTTCGTTACGTTCGTTCGTTCGTTCGTTCGTTCGTCGTTCGTTCGTTCGTTCGTTCGTTTCGTTCGTTGTTCGTTTCGTTCGTTCGTTCGTTCGTTCGTTCGTTCGTTCGTTAGTTTCGTTCGTTCGTTCGTCGTTCGTTTCGTTCGTTCGTTCGTTCGTTCGTTCGTTTCGGTTCGTTCGTTCGTTCGTTCGTTCTTGTTCGTTCGTTCGTTCGTTCGTTCGTTCGTTCGTTCGTTCGTTCGTTCGTTCGTCGTTCGTTCGTTCGTCGTTCGTTCGTTCGTTCGTTCGTTTCGTTCGTTCGTTCGTTCGTTCGTTCGTTCGTTCGTTTCGTTCGTTCGTTCGTTCGTTCTCCTCCCTCCCCTCCGCCGCCCTCCACCTCGGCTCCTTAACCCGTGCCTCAGGTGGGATCGAACCCACCATCTCCGGTCTACCAGACTAAAACACTAACCACTAACCTACCGGAGGCGTTACTGACTGACTCATTCATAATCCCACAGTCCAAACGACTGAACCTAGAAGCGATGCACCACGTGTATTCTAGTTTATACATAAAGTTGTTTAAATGCTATTATAGGGCCAAAAGTTGGGTTTTTTCAAGTTTAAGACACTATTTCGAACAGATTATAAAAAAAATGGCCAAACACGGGCCATGACACGATATCTCGTAAACCAGATATGATAAATAAGTTCTTCTTTAAATTCTTCAGATTAACATTCTGTGCTACTCAATCAGAAAATTTTACTTTAGTCTCGGGGTGTTATTTTCAAAATTGCGACATGAGGCAATCCATAAGTGGTTCTATGGGAAAAATAAAATGTCGACATTTTTCAATATTTTAATCTAAACTAATTCCGGTTAATATGAAACCCTAAAGATAATTTTAAATCTATGTTATTTTACAACCCTGTTAAAGGTTTTTGTCTTAGCTTAACATCGTTGCCAGATGTTTATTAGCAAATTATTTACAACCTTATAAATATGTATTTAATTTTCTGATTTTCCTAGTGACACTGAGGTCCAGTAGTTAATATTATGAGTTAAGAAATCGAAACATCCAAAGTCTATTATTAATAGATATTTCTTTAAAATTTCTGCCCTTATAGAGAGTTTTTTAAAAAGAGAAATACATATATGCATTTTTTTACCCATTAGGAATATTGGAAAGTTTCTGTTGGATCGATTTACTCAATGATCTTTGATCAGTATTGAAACAAATTTTATGGAAAATTTTAAATTTAAAAAAATTTTCCTTTGGAAACGCATTTCTAAAGTTTTCACAGTTAAAAGCATCTTTTAATTAAAAATAAAAAACAAAACTTAAATATAGAGTAAAAATAATTGAAATAATTAACAACAAAAATCTTATAATTATTAAACACCCAATAATTATAGTTTAACGGAATTTTTTAACAGTTTTTTTTTATTAAACAAAAGAAAATATAAATTTCAACTAAAAATTAAATAACAGAAAATTAAATAACTAGAATCAAAATAAAATATATACGATCAACGCGGATGAGCCTAAATATCATCCCATATTAAAGATTCGATCGCATCTACCAAATATTTGTTATAAATGAAAAATCGACATTTTGATTTTCTTTAAAAACTACTTTATAATTTATCTGGACATAATTTTTTAAGTACAAAAGTCAAGTAAGATCATAAAATCATATTATAAAAAATCGTGGTTAAATATTTTTCGTGTAAAATTTAGTAGGTGTGATCATACTATAACTCAAATTCTTATCATCATTAAGATAGATTTATTTTAAAATTAATTTAAATGAAATAAAACAAATAAAAATATCACAGCTATATAGAATTCGAATTAATTTGCTTAAAATGCAAAATATGTATTGGAAAATATTTCAGATCAAACGCATAATGACTAAAATTTAACAATTTCTATTAAACTGTAAACTAAATCTCTTAACATTTTGATCATAAAAAAATATATATATTGAAATAAAATCAACTTTCATTAATAATAAAACATGTTAAAATATGTTGACAAAAATAAAATAAAATTTAGCAACAAATAAATTTTATATAAAAAAAAAATAAATTTACATTGACGTCAATAATTTTTAAAGAGAAGTTAGTTAGATAAAGAGAGAAATAACACAAAATATAATAAATTATTTATTTTTATTAATTGTTTCAACTTAA